CCCTGCCCTCCACTGCTAGCTAGAGGTGCTCCCACCCTGCCCTCCACCTGTCCTCGTCCCACTCTGCATCCCTGGGCTAATGCACTCCTCCTCTCAATTGCTTTCACCAGCACAAAACTGCTGGCAGCTTCCAAATCTAAATATCTGCTCTAGACATCAAGATTCTGCTCCAGATTTGAAAAAGCGGTCCTTCCTTCAAATACATTTTCCTTATTTTTGCTCTCTTCATGACAAAGAATGACAGGTGCTGTCTGCTGGTCTAAGACTCAATGGAAAGAAACTGGGTGTACTAGATTTACTATCAAGTGTTTATCCCTTGCAGTCTCCCCGTGAATGACTTACAAACATCTCAAACTCACTCATCATGTTCCCTGTGCAAGTCTGAACTCATGTTCTCTGAACGTGTTCTCTCATCCTTTGTCCTGTATCTTAGTGAATGGTACTTCTGCTCCCCCAGTCACCCAGCAAGAGTCATCCTTTTCATCTGGAGTGATGAAAAAGCTCCCAGTTCTGCCTAGTTAACTGTTTTCTAATTAAATCCCTCCTTCTTGTCCCCACGGTTGAACAGACATCGTTGAATCATGTTCAACAGACATCCATGAATCTACAGATAAAAGAACAGGAGGATGAGCGGGAAACTTGGCCAGTTGCTGAAAACTTCTCACCAGGCACATTGTTCTACTTGGTACCTTTCAGTCCCCTGACTGAACCAATGGAAGCCACATCTTTCTGAAATTCCTATCTGATGACATCATCCCTCTGATTATCAGCATTCAGGGACCAGTTGTTCCTACAGGACAAAGACTAGATTCCATGGCTGGCATCAGAAGTCATCCGAGGTCAGGGACGTGTGCTATTGCTCTGCCCTCTTTTCCTGAGGTTGTTTTCATCCTATAAATACTCCCCAGTACCCGGAACTACTGACATGATTTCAATTCCACATCTTTACCTATGCTTTTCCCTCCATCAAGATGGCTCGCTACACTCCCCTCCCACCCTTGCTTTCACACCTGAAAATTCACTAGTCATTTGCCAAAACTCAGCTTGGGCTTCACTTCTTCTCTGGAGCCTGTGCTGAACTCTCCACCCAGGGCTCCACTTCCCCCTCCTTTCCTCCGAGACTCTGTACTCGCTCCTAGAACAGCATTTCACTGCTGTTCACAGGCTTGCACTCACCCCCTGCTGGAATCTTTTCCCTTTTTAAGAATGGAGGTCCCCACCTTATTAATCTGGGAATTAGCACAAAATGGAGATTGAAATATTTGCAGATGGATTGGTGAGTAAATGGATGAATAGATGGAGAAGGGTCTTGGAAAGATTACAGGCAAGGAGATAATGTGATAAGCTGTGCATTTTAGGAAAAACACTCTGGTGTCAGAGCAAGGAGCTGGAAGGCTTATAACACAAATCAGAGAATATTACAAAGAATCCAATGGAGATGTACAGAGAAACAGACAGGGAGAGGAGCAGTAGCTAAGCAGAGAAGGGAATGGATCAAAAAAAAAAAGATACTTATAAAGTGAACACACAGATTTTACTGATCGTATGGGTGACCAGCAGGAGCAAGCTTGAGAAAAGTGAAGATATTAAGAATGGCTTCTAGGTCCCAGCTTAGAAATAAAATATCTATACATTCTGATCCATAGCATTAAGCCAGGCAAAGATACACCACAAATTTATATATGGAGCCAATCATGCATTTGGCTTCCCTGATAGCTCAGTTGGTAAAGAATCCGCCTGCAATGCAGGAGACCCCAGTTCGATTTCTGGGTCAGGAAGATCCGCTAGAGAAGGGATAGGCGACCCACACCCCAGTATTCTTGGGCTTCCCTTGTGGTTTAGCTGGTAAAGAATTTGCCTGCAATGCAATGCAATACAGAGACCTGGCTTTGATCCCTGGGTTGGGAAGATCCCCTGGAGAAGGGAAAGGGTACCCATTCCAGTATTCTGGCCTGGAGAATTCCATGGACTACACAGTCCATGGGGTCGCAAAGAGTCAGACACGACTGAGTGACTTCGCTTTCTTTCACTTTCTATTAAACAAAAGGGCAGCTGAAAACAGGAAACAAGGAAATACGGCTGCCTGGTAAGTCCTAAATTACCATAAAAGAAGAGACTTTCCTAATCTCCAGCGATTCATAAAGACTGGAAGAAAGTATTTATAGCAGGTCATCTCTTGCTCTTGACAGCCATCTCATCAGTGGGCTGGGGATATATATATATACATATATATACATATACGGACGCACACACTTGAAACTATGCTTTATACCATTAAAATACCATTACAATCATGGATTTTGCATATTTAACAGAAATGTCTCTTTACCCAAAACATAACTTTAAACATACTTTTCTTAGCTTCTTGGCAATGAAAACACAGATCAACAGAGTAAATCCATTCCTGAAGTATACACCTCATTCATCACAGTACACTTGTTCTTGGCAAGAATGATAATGTGCTACAAAAACTGTTATTAAAGTAAGATTTGAGGATTCCCAGGCTGGCAAGGAATTAGTTACCTACACTGCTTTAGAAATTGTTTTCTTATAATTTCTTTTATTATTAATGGTCTTGTTAGACTTATAGTTCAAAGTAACTTTCCTTGATTAATCTAATGTATAAAGCCCAGCTATTCTAAAGCTTGCTTAAATCATAAGCAGCGATTGCCAAAGATGGCCTGTCCTCCTAGGCCAGCTGTAGTTGGGCACCACCTCCCAGAAGATGATTCAATCTCTGTGTTCAACTTGAGTCTAGCACCTCCTGCCCTTAGTTTCAGCTCAATCCTTAGTTTCAGAATCTAAAACTAAGTCATTCAAAACTTCACAATAGCATGTGATATTGATAAGTACATAACTTGCTTTGTTTCTACCACTAAAGACACTGGCTGACTGATAAAGACTGGTGAGTAGAGTTATTCAACCTTGAACCTCTTAAACGATCATTTGTCAAAAATTTAAGATTCTGTAAGGCCAGAAAAACCTGTTAAATCATAACACACTGAAAAGAAAATGTTGCATTGCAAGAAGTCCTCATTCATGTTCAAGGGCAACACTTAGCTTAGCAAATACAAAGCAGGAGCACTAACCAAGGTTGTCTCTAACCCTTTCTGAATACGCAGTACATAAGCTACTAAAAATTCAAGGCCACTAAGTAACATCATATTGTAAAATCAGAGTTATGAATGTTCTGAGCAAACTCTTGTAAAAAAAATCATTTTCTACACAGTATATACTCTGTTGCCAAACTGAGCACAGATCATATTGCTAAATCTTTTAGTGGATTCTGACAGGTCAAAATAATTTATCAGGCTCATCAGGTAATAGGATTAATTATATATCAACTCAGAGTGGATGAACATGTAAAGTATCAGTAGTGCTTCTCTAATTCTAGCATTTACTACAGTAACCACATTTATGGAAATGTGAATCTTGCAAACATTATACTTTTGATGTAATAATGATATTACACAACTTTCTCCTTGTGTACGTTGTAAGATGGAAAGTTGGCTGGAATATTCTGCCTAATGCTACATGTTCACATCAATCTGGGACTGTAAAATTTTCCAGACACCAGCGCCCCACAGATTGTAGACTCCACCAATTTCCTGACCACTACGTGGTAAAATTCCAGGCTCACCTATTTACAAAACCAGCCCCTTCCTCCATGTTATTTAAAAAGTGTTTCTGGACTTGATGCCAATCCTCCATCCCAGGTAAGAGGTGTGTTTTGATGACATGCCTCACTTCTAAAAAACACCTAATTCATGTCTTCCAAACCTTTTTTTTTTTTTTAAACTAGGAAACAAGGAACCTATCAGGGAGTACCTGCAACTTTCTCTACTGGCCTCCTACGACTGAGATCTTAATATTCCATTTTCACAAAAAGAAGCAGAAAGGGGAAACCACAAAGAGAGGAGGAGAAAGAAGCAGAAAAGAAAAGATGAGGGTGTAACGGCATAAAAACTACCGTAAAATGTCCACATAAACGTAATTCTAACAGGAGATTGAATGAATGGACGTTGTGGGAAAAACAGTAGTAAACTTTAAAGCCACAGAAAGGTTTTAATGCCTCAGGGAAAAATAAACATTTGCTTCCAATCATTTTCTCATTAAGCATTCTCTGCTAGATGGTGAAGCTTACTTAACACGCACACGCTCTGGCCCCAAACCATCAATGCCAACTTCACCCACTGCCTGATCCCAGTCCCCGGCGGGCTGTGTGCCCAGCACCTCTGCCCGCGCCCCTGCGCCCCAGTGCCGGACTCCACGCCGGCCTCGGCCTCGGCGCCTAAGCGAACAACACCTCGCCTGCTGGCCTCCTCCAGACCTCTGCCACCTCTACGACAGGAAGGATTACTTGCACTGACAGATTTTCCGTTAGCTGAGGCTGAGGTGGCTGCGAGGCGTGTTTACGGCGCGCTGGCAACCTCGCTGCTGTCCCTACCGCGCATCGGCCTCCCCAGCTCCGCCCCGGACCAAGACCCAGGCCTGTGTCTCGCCTCTCTGAGCAGCGTCTACCCCGCCATCACCTCCTAACCTCTCCAACACTCTCTCAAGCTCCACGCGGGCGCACGGTCTCAGGCGCCTTTCTCAGCTCCCGGGCGCCCCCCTCGGTTGGAACGGACGCATCTCGGGACCTCATCGCTCCCAATTATCCGCGCAGACCAAGTCCCGCGCCTGCCGGGGTCGGCCCCCGAGCGCCCAGAGCGGCCGGGCAGCTCATTGGTGCCCCACGGGGAAGGCTCCGTCTGCAGGGGCGGGAGGGGTGGGGCTCAGGGAGGTGGCAGGCTCCAGGAGGGAGACCCTAAACACGTGCAAAGAAATAAAACCTACCACGTGCGCGCGCGCGAGCGTGTGGGCTCGTGTGTATGTGTGTGTGCGTGTATACCCGCACGGCCCGCTAGGGCGTGGGCGCCGCGCGTCTCAGGGGACCGGGCAGGAGGGTCCGCCCGGCCGCCGCGGTGCGGGGGTCGCGAGGGGGGGACGCGGGTACTCACACGAACGCGTGGTAGACGAACGCCCAGCCGCGGGGCCTCTCCAGCACGTTATACAGGTAGTTCTGCAGCCGCCGGTACTTGACGTTGCGCCGGCAGCTCTGGCCGCTGGTGTAGGAGAGCGGCTTCCCGAGCAGGCTCATCCGGGCGCCCTGCTTGCCCCGCCGGCTCTCCCGCAGGCCGCCGCCACCCAGCGCCGCCGCGCGGGTGCCCAGCAGCAGCAGCCCGTCGCCCCCGGCGGCTGCCGAGTTCAGCAGCGCCCTGGCCCGGCCCGACTCCACATCCTTCATGCCGCCGCCCGTGCGCCCCCCGCCCGCCGCCGCCGCCGCCGGCGCGCCGCTCCTCACCCAGAGCCCGGCGGCGCCGCCCTCCTCGCCGCCCGCGTGCTGGCGGGGCATGGCATCACCGCGGGCACCGCGAGGGGGGCCCCGGCGGAGGGGGCCGTGGCCTCATGCGCTCCGGCAGCTTTCGAGGAGGGAGCTGCCGCCGACGGGGCGCCCGGCGGCCCGCGAGCTGCGCGCCGGGGGGCGGAGAGGGCGCGCGGAGGAGGCGAGGAGTCCAGGTGTCCTGTAGCCTTCACCTCCTTAGGCGAAATCGGGACGTGTCGTGGGGGCGTCACTCCAAGCCTCCGGTCCCTCGGTCCCCGCGGCGGACACTCCCTCCTGGTGAAGCTCCCCCCGGGGCTGGAGATGGAGCTCCCGCGCGCGCGCGCCGGGTCCCAGGCTCCCCACGCCGGAGGGGACCTGCGGCACCGAAACCCCTCTCAGGGACGGGAGTTCGGCGTATTGTCCCCGGGGCTTTGGAGCTGTTGGAAGGTGCGCCCGCCTCGTACCCAGAGAAGGGAAAGGAGAGGCGGGCGCTCTTTCCTCCCTCTGCTGCACCGCCGCGCGGTCTGGTCCCGTCGTCCTTCCGCGAGGGGTGTGCGCCGGAACGGCCCAGTCCTGCCCTCCAGGTACCAGCCAGTCCCCAAGCGCGCCGGCCCAAGCTCCGGGCGGGGGCGCTCGGATCCTCACGTTCAGGGTGCAGCCCCGCGGGACGCGACCGCCTAGCCAGCGAGACGGGCGCTGGGCACCTCACCGCCGCAAACTCCTCTGGCTTGCGGGCTGTGACTTTCCATCCCAGCATCAGACAGGAGAGCTGGACATCCTTGCCAGCCCGGGGGTGGGGTGGGGTGGGGTGCGTCAAAACTCCGCTTCTCCGCGGTGAACGACTGGCGCTGGGCTGTGCCTTACAGCGGCGCGAAGCAGGGTAGGACAGACCGGGTCCCTCCGTCAAGAAATTTGCATTGAAGTCAGAGAAAGTCATAAATAGGCGAAGTCTCTCGGCGGTGGCGGCGGCAGCCCCAGAGTCTGGGGGCGGGAGGGAAATTCTGGAGGATGGAGAGTCCAGGACCCCAATTTCCCTGGGTCCTCTCCCCACCCGCCTCTGCTTCCACTTACGCAGTGAGAGGCTTCTCCCGCCGCCTCCAACACAAGAGCGGTCCGCCCCCAAGCCCCCTTCCCCCTGGGGGAGGAGGGAGGCCGGCGAACCTCTGGCCTTCAACGAGACGGCGTTAAAAAGCGTGAGCCGCTGTGCCAGAGACGCTGAGAGGAAGCTGGGTTTGGGAACTTCTTCCCAAAGAGTGGAACCCCTCCCCTCCCCCTCAAATAGGAAGGAAATGATCACTAAACTGAAGGAAGAACTGGGGTTCCACCGCAAAGCCAGAACAGATGGTTCCGAGATAGTGAGCCCCAGTGCCTTTTTGCTTCCAGAAGCCGAAAGCCGAGGCGTGAGTCCCGTGTCAGCTGCCCCCGGCTCTGGAGATGCTCGGCCAGCTCCTCCGTGTGAGCAAACCAGTGGCGGCTCCGGTCTGCCTCGGGCAGCGGCCGCATGGCCCCGCTGGCCCCTTCCTTCTTCCAGTCATCGCTGCGAAGTCAGCGCAGCCTCCTCGCCGGCTCCCGGCCGCCGGCGCGACCCCGCGCCCCCTCCCGCCGGGTGCCCGAGCCCGGCGGCCGCGGGCGCTTAGCGGAGGCGCTCGGTGCAGCTGGCGGCGCCGCCACGTGACTGCCCCCTAATTCACTTCCACCCCCGCGCGCGCGCGCGCACGTGGAGGGGCAAGGGGGCGGCCTAGTGCCCCCAAGGTTCAGGCCAAGTGAGAGAGCGCCCCGGAGCGAGCGCTCCACTCCTAGGGCCGAGCGAGGACCGGGCGGAGCGCTGGGGAGTTGGCGTCGCTATATTTAGACTCCCCCCGGAGTTTCCGCGCAGGGTTTTCAGGGTGAAAGATCTAGAGGCTTAGAAGGATTCGTGTGCGCGCTTTCAACGTGAAAATCTTGGCTTTTCTGCAGGCAGGAAAATGAGAAGCATTTCGCCTTGAACGAGCAGTTTTCCTTCTTGCACACTTTACCCCATCCCACTGCGAAGGTCAGATCCCTTGTCTCACTGGCACTGCTGGGCCGAGCGTGCTGGCTGGAAGGTTTGGGAAGGCGGGACAAATTTCCAGGGAAAGAGCCAGTTGCCTGACTTCTCATGGACGCTTTCCTGAGTGTGTGGCAAGGTGGGAAACCGTAATGTGGATTAAGCAAATGCGTGACACTTTAAAGTAGCATCAAAGGTGGTGATCAGCAGAGGTTTAGAGCTGGGAAGGGCCTTTGAGATCGGTTCTCCGGTTCTCTAGAAGTTAGAGACACCCCAGAGGGGACCGGCCCAAGCATCCACAGGTGGTTGGTATGAGGGTTATCAGGAACCCAGCAGCCTCGCCTCTGGGTTTCCTTTCCCTTCCACATCTTATACAGAACATGTACTGAAACGCAGGTTACCCAGATGGCGCTAGCTGTGAAGAACGTGCCTGCCAATGCAGAAGACTTAAGAGACTGGGGTTCAGTCCCTGGGTCTGAAGGAGCCCCCGAGGAGGGCATGGCAACCCACTCCAGCATTCTTGCCTGGAGACTCCCATGGACAGAGGAGCCCCTGGCTACATCGCATAGGGTGGCAAAGAGTCCGACACGACTGACTGAGCGGCTGAGCATGCAGGCACCCTGAGGCGCTCCTGGCTGTATTTCAGCGTCTCTGCAGGCTCCCTTTGGAAAGAGAGGTTCAGCCACAAACTCTGACACCCCGCCTGAGGGTGCTGGGAAGGAAAGGCCACGTGAGGCTGCTCACCTCTCCTACTGGCTTCCTCGTGTGTTCCTGGCTTCTTCACTACCAGCTAACTTCTCTCAAAAGGCAGGAATTAACTGTTGGAAAAACAGAGTGCTGTGATCAAGCTTTTTTCTGTCGCTGTGCCTTTGAACACAGATGTTGCTAGGAAACTGCCTTTCATTCTTTTGGTTGAAATATTAAAACCTAATATCAGAAGAGAGGGTAGACAAAGAGTGAAATGACATAGCCGTGTATATTCCACCTGTAATATTACATTAGAGCCTTATAAAGAGGTAGAATGGTAAAAGACAGCCGTCTTTTCCAAACCAAGTGTTTATTTCTAATGTAGACCATATGAGCTGATTTCCCTCCCCATCCTTTGGAGGTGAGTGTGCTTTCAACCATTGTGAGATATCTGCTTGAAATGTATGCCCATGGAAGGTTTTATTCTCTGAAGTCTACTTGGAGATGGTTTCCGCTGAAAATAGCTACTAGAAATATTTTACTTCAGTGTGTTTTCTATGCCATTATATTTTTCATCTGAAGGGCACTCTAGAATAGTAATATGGAACATTCTATACAAGAGCTAGAGGTGCTCGGCAAAGACTTTCACAGCAGAATAACTAGTTGTGAGCTGGTTTTACAGAATATCCGTGACCACATGACTCTCCCGTCTCCTCCAGACCTCCCCAGCCCCCTGTGTGTTCTGGTCCTACCACCTCTACACACTTCTCATTGAGTCATGCTCATCGTTCTGGTCAACTCACAACGGATGGAAGTGCTGCTTTTTTGTGTGATGTGGATGCTTTTTGATCCACTGTGAAATGCCAGGTCAGCCAGAGTAGTGGTAATAAACAGAATCCTCAAACCTTAGAGCAAAAGGGACATTTGCTGATGAAGAAATGGAAAACTATTGTTGGCTGCTTGCCCAAGGCTCAGCTGTTTGCCTTGGAGGAAGAACTGAAGTCCCCTAACGCCTGAGTGGAATGCCTTTAAGCCAGGCCACCCTTTCCCTTAGCTTTTATTTCCTCCTGTCAGATCAGAATCAAACCTACAAGCACAACAACTATAGTTGTGTTACTTAGGTATCTTATAACCATTGATTTGGTAAATCTGATTATTTCAAATATGTCAGCATTGTAGACCACAGTATCATTTTTACTCTGTGGAGGATTCTTAGAGATGTGATGCTGAGATTCTCTCTATATTTTACCAAGGGACAGAAATCAGAAAACCTGGGGCAACATCAGAGATCATAAGAACCTGCCAGATGACATGAAGGCTCCCACATCGCAGGGACTCATCCTAGCCTGCCCTCAGTGGGTGAGGCATGGTCCCTTCAGATCAGCCTCTGCCTAGGGGTGCAGAAACAGTGCAGGTGTGAGTGGACAGGGGTGTGAAAAGAGGCTGGTGGGGGAGCAGACAGAATAGGAGAAGCGCTCTAAAAGCCTCACCATGTTCATCCCAGCAACTATCAAAATTTATTTTCCTAGGAATTACTAAAATAGTGTGCCAGTTACCACTGTCAAAGCAAAATAATAGCAGACATTTCATATGTGTTTACAGCGCACGAGGCATTGTGATTAACAAGAATTATTTCATTTGATTCTGACCGTAGCTTTACAAATGAGCACTACAGGTTTATAAGGAAGAAAGTGAGGTTGTGAGAAAGTTAATACTTTATCAAAACTAATGAGAAATTGAGTCTGAACTCAAACTTATGGTTATTTCATGAGGAAAAAAAGGCCACAAAGACAAAAACCAAAACCAGATTTTAAATAACTAGGCTGTATTAACTTTTGAAATAAAAAGGCTTAGCCTATTATCACGTTAATATACTTGACTCTTTTTCCTTTAAAAAGGGAAGTGTTGGAAAGTGTCTAGTAGCTGTTTCATGGTAGGACTTGGGGTTTTATTCTAAACACAGAATTAGCCTCAACACCCCTCTTCACTTTTCCTGAAGAAATAAAAGCTTATGTATAGAGATTTTTCTTCTGTATTGAATATTTTAAAACAGTCCCAAATCATGAAGTAACAGTATCTTGGAATTATACTTACATTTTTATCTTTTTCCTAACACTACCTTAAGAGTCCCAAATCATGAAGTAACAGTATCTTGGAATTATACTTACATTTTTATCCTTTTCCTAACACTACCTTCAGTTTTATTCACAAACTCCTATTTATCATACTTGGCTATACCAGATTTCTATTTTCTTCCTGTTATGTTAGTATGGCAGCCAACTACTTAAATGATCTTCCTGGAAGTAATTTGAATACAGCTATTTGCTCTTTCTAAGATATATACATTTAGAAACTGTGTGAAGAGATTGATACAGAAGACAAACCTCTCATTTGAGGGAGTGCCCAGGGAAAATTCTGTTATAATTCTGTGCCCCCTAGTGGCACTGACATTTTACCATAACCTTTTTCAAAGAGAAATTAAGAAAGCACCCTTTATGAATCACCCCAAACCTTTTCATCTCCTCGGCAAGCTATCGTTAGTCATCAGGTATGAGCTAGTTGGAGCGGCTGCAGATGAAGAATGTCTTGATTCTCAGGTGCACGGGCTGAATAGTAATTCTAATGTGACGGGTTCCCGGAGGTTTGCACCGCATCTTACAGGAAGCTGGAGAGGCTTTCCTGAAGGACGCAGGGGCTGGGCTTCCTTGAGGAAGAGCTGGCCTTCGGTGACACATTAGGGCAGGCTGTTCAAGGAAAAGTTAGTTGAGAACCTGTGAAGGCCAGGCATCCTTTGAGAGTGACAAGTGGCTGGATTCTCTTGGAGCCCAGGGTGCTTCTGAAGGGTGTGGTGGTAAGGCCGGGGCTCCGCAGCTGAGAGTCTCAGCGGGAATTCGGGGATTGTGTTCTGACTTGAGCAGGGAGCCCCTGAAGAATGTGAAACAAGACACTCTACTTGTTCCTATTTCCACGTGCAGAAAAGCCCTGAATATTAGTTGAGTTTAATGCGGGGGGGGGGCAGGGAGTGTGGCTTGAGCACTAATGCTCGGCACACACTGTTCCAAACTGGGATTCAGAGATGACATGTCTTTGGTGGAAGATAGTGATGGCTGCCAGTCCATGGACAGGTGTCCAGCCAAACCTCCAGCTTCCAGGCCTGAGTCTCTGGATGATGAGTGGTGTTATTTACTGAACTTGGAAAGACCATCTGGTACAGCCATCTGGGGACAGGGATGATGGTGGCTTCAACTTCACAGGAATACGGCCTGACTGCTGAGGTAGCCCAGTGGAAACGTCCAGTGAACATACAGGTCTGCAGCTCAAGAGGGAGCCAGGAATCTGTGTGTGTGTGTGCGCGCGCGGGCACTCAGTCACTCTGCGATCCCATGGACTGTAGCCCGCCACACTCCTCTGTCTGTGGAATTTTTCAGGCAAGAATACTGGAGTGGGCTGCCATTTCCTTCTCCAGGGGATCTTCCCAACCCAGGAATCGAACCTGCATCTCCTGCATATATATATATATATATGTATATATGTATATATATATACACACACATATAAAAGACGCAATCACCATATATGATGAAAGTGATGGGTTGGGATTAGATTACCTGGGAAAATATGTAGATTGGCTGAAAAAGGAAAAGGCCCGAGGACCCAAATTGGGGGGCGGGGGTGCTCAGAGCCAAACACTGAGGGTGGGGGAGGAGAAAGGAGAATAGGAAGCTGAGGAACCTCTGAGGACCACTAAGAACCATTGCCTGAGCAGCCATAAAGAAAGCTTCAACAGGGAAATGCGGGACAAAGATAATCGAGATAGGATTTGACCACAAGCAGGTCATTGGAAGAAGTTGTTTCTGGGTTTTGTTTTCCTTGCAGAATTTCTTGTAGAATGAGAAATCAGGTCAGAATGGGCAGGAAGGAATTCAGAAGTGAGACAGTGACGTTAATGATTCTGGAGGGGA